CTCATAAGCCAGTCAACCGAGGAGAAAGGAGGGTACGAAGCCCCCTTTATTTCCATAAGTTATTCAAGGCTATCGGGAATGCGAAAGGCACTTGGCCCAACTCGCATTTGACTTCTTGACCTCACTAGCAGTACTAATGGACCATTTGGGCCCAATAGCACAATAGAACTATTGAAAGTCCTTTTACATGAAATTGGGTCATAGAAGGCCCATTAACATGTAAGCGCGTTCCCTTCGGGCCCAATGATCATGTTATTAGGCTAGCAAGGCTCAACAAGCACGATTTGAAACTTTCAAGCCCAAAGTTTGAATATTGAGTCCTCATAGTTATCGCGTGTTTATTGAAATACTATGGTTTATTGATTTTTGTTTTGTTATTGATTCGAGACCGAATCAATTCGTTGTGTAACGATATTGGTTGTTGAGAGTGTATTTGTTTTTACGTTTCGTCGGTAGTCGTGGATCTAGTATTTTGTCTTAATGAATTAATTTGTTTAAAATTAAGATATTTACCTTTTCACAACCATTCTTTTATAAAAATAGCACTTTTAGTCCTTTATATAAAAGAATTTCATTTTAGTCCTTAAAACATTATTTGACACTTTTGTATCATAAACTTGTTGAAAAGACATTTTTGGCCCAAATTTATTTTGTAAACATCTTTTGTCCTTCCAGAATGATGTTTTCTCGGTTAAAACCCCCAGTTTCGCAACTTTTACAGTTTTGGCCCAAAATAGAAAAATTTTACATTTTTTATCCTTTTTGAATTTGAAAAGCATTTTTGACCTTTGAAATAGTTTAATACACTTCAAATCCCCTGTTTTACAAAAAATTGCATTTTCAGCCCCTTAAACATGTAAATCTCGCATTTTGAGGCTTATTGGGCCGAAAAGCCCAAATCTAGCCCATTATGTTCAAAATTTACATTTTAAGTCCCTCAAAAATGTTGTTGTTCAGAAAATTTATTATAGAAACTGTTTGGACCCTTTTGACCCTCCAGAAACTATAATTTGTTGGTTTTGACCCTAAGTTTTGTATTTTTGACAATTTAAGCCCAAAAATGGGTTTTATGTTCAAGTATGTTCATCCTAACCATATAAACTATTTTTCTTGACTTGATTAGTGTAAAATAGTTTTAAGTTATGTTTATTTCCTTCCTCATGTTTTAGATCTTGGTTTTTACACACTTTTTGGATAACATATTCATCACAAACACATGATATCACACACATACATGCATGAAATCACACATAGGATACATTTACACATAGATCTACACATTTACTTGTATTCTCCCTCATAAAAAATCATAAAAATCGAAAAGAAGGGGGTATGAAACTCACCTTGATTTGTGGATCAGTCTTGAAGAAGATTTGGAGAAGTTTAGTGCTATTTTCGGCCCTAGCAAGCTCCTTGGATGGATCTCGAACTTAATGGGTTCTAAGATGCAAGATCATGAACTTGAATGGATTAAGAGATGATTTTGATGAAAAAAAAGTAGCTAGATTATGGATCTAATCAATATCTTACCTTAGATGATGAGTTTTTGTGGAGAATATCCTTGAAAGCCTTCTAGATCTCGAAAGTTTTGAAGAAGAAGTGAGAAGATGTTCTTGATGACTTAGAGACAATGGAGAGAATTTTTGTGAGTGTGTGTGTGTTGTGTTCGGCCGAGAGCAAGAAGGAGAGGAGAGAAGAGAGAGTGAGTGAGGTGACTATGCATGGGAACATGAGAAAAAATGCATGGTTATCCCATGAACAATTGTGAGGTGGCATCAAAAGTCAACACCTCCTCTTGGGTTGGGCTTAGGCCGAGAATAGAGAGGGAAAAAAAAGATTTGGGCCCTTAATGCTTAAGCACTTATTATAATCCATTTAGGTGAATTTTTGGCTCAAATAAATCTAGTAATGATTTTTATGGCCTATTAGGGCTAATATAAATTTGTTTTGGTCCAATCAGACTCATTAAAGTTAATTTAGTTTATTTTGGGTTCATAAGGCCTAACAATGTTAAGTTTCATGTATATGGGTCCAATTAGGGCCCATTTGAGAGTTCTAGGTTCAAGATAGTCCAATTGGAAGCTTATTGGTCCATTGGACCCAATAAGGAAATCCTGGTCCAAAATGGACTTAAACAAGGATTTCTAGGGTTTCCAATTATTCGTTGACTATTTGCAGTGCTTGTATGAAGTGTTTGATTAAAATTATGTTGCTATTGAATAAGCATCTTACGTGTTTTCACATTGTTTGTTCACATTTGTTATCATTGTTCAAAGTTTACAAGGCATAAAAATTCCTAGTTATGACAATAATGCACCACGAATCCCCGTCATCCCTTACTTGACCGATAAGTAAATACCCTTAATCCATTTACCAATACTACCAGTCTCGCACCTGGTCCAACCACTAGATTCCCAAGAGATCAATATCGAGGCTACCCAGCCTAGACTCCTTTGCGTCACATACTGATTATTTAGATGATCCTGCATCTCAAGATCCTAACCCTTGACCCAACAATCTTTACCAGTTTCATTCTGAATTCCCATCAGGAGTTCGGCCTCACCTATGTATTCTCACTGTTCACTATACATAATCAAGGCGATGCTGACCGGCGATTTGGAGTTTCTTGAACTCCTACCAACACAACCTAGACCTAAGTAGCCACTTGTTTCTCCCCCACTTGGGTTCGACAATGTTCTTCCACCTCTTACACCTTATGGATATTCGGTTCATTTTCATCAGTACATGACTCGCCCAAATCCTGCACCGAACAACGCAAGCACCCCATAGTTAGCCAAACACAATGATCACTCACCTCTGGAAATACTGAAGAATACTCTTCTATTCTTAACCAATCGGATGATCCAACCACTTCCCAAGGCACCCTACTTTCTAAAGAAATCCGAAGGCAAATACAAATTTACCACTCTCTTACCACTACCTAGGGTCCGGTAAATGCTACGGGCTACGCCGCAAACTTGCAACACTCTAGCGTCATCACATCTGTCCAAAATCTTACCGTCGATCCATCATATCAGACACCCGAAGTCAAGCATCCATTCACAATGTCACCTGCTGACACGATAAATCCTGCTACGCTTGTAGCGACCCATAGTCCTAGAGCGATGACTCCATCGTACGGTTTCCCACTCGTGTCGTGCTGACTTCAGCCCTGCTAACCTCTAAACGCTGCTTAGAAGTCTTGGGTCTCTTACCAAGACCCTCCACTAAATGCACATGACTTGAAACTCTTCTCTCGAGGTACTCCAAATCTATCTTCTAACCTCGAGCTCTAGGATCCATATCATTCAGGGTCGCGCACCCTAACACACTCACCAGCTCATTCGTTAATGGCTGAACTACTATAGCTACAAGCATCACATATCAGGACAATCTATCACTTACTACTCAGCACTATTATGCAAGTCTACCAGCTCATACAACATATAAAGGCATCTCTCTTAGCCCTAACTGGCATGCAATTCTAAGATTCATAAATCAAGTCATAACAGATAACATATATGGGTAATCTGGGGAAACTTACTTAAGCTCGCACTACAAGAAAAACAGCCTTTAATCACGCGCAAACAATGACACTCACTGATAGAGGATGTGCATTTGTGCGTGCCCTAAAAGATAATGTCAGTTTTGCAAAATTTGAAGGATAAAGGACACGTATTTGTGCGCGCCCTAAAATTAGTGTCAGAAAAGAAAAAAAAAGAAATGCGGAGGGCGCCTTTCATAAAATGTGCGTCGTGTAAATGTGTCGCTTTATAATTTTTAAGTGAAACACGCGTTTTAGGCGGGAAATGAAATCGACTAAAATTACTCCCGCCTATTGGATTCCAAAAATTAATCCCCCCGCCTCAAGAAAAATCCCTAGGGCCTTCATCTTCTCCTTGCTCATACGTTCTCATACGATATTCAAAACCTCACTGAGTCTCTCCTTCTTGAAATCCTCACAAGATTGCCCCTGAAATCGAAGGGATCATTCTAGGGTTCTTTTCAAGATGGGAAGGCTCTCTACAACGCTCGCTACCTTGGCTCACCTCATCTACCAACGATCTCGACTCATCTCTTTTAGCCGGAGAGCTTGGGATAACCTTACCTCGACAGAGACCGCCACATATGCTCAAATTTACAAGCCCTAGGTCTGGTTTAATGACCATCAGATCTTCTTTGTGATCTGTCTCGCACAACAAGACTCCCTCTCAATAACATCGTCTTCCTTGTGTTGAAGGTATGATAATATCATCTAAAACTTAGTGGGCTCGATCGCACCCACAAATATGTGATTCTACCTACAGTAATCGAGACCACAGTCCAAAGAGCCGACATAGGGCTTTCAAACATGAGATTTTATGAAACTTCAAACCACGTCTCTCTCAAATTGGCATTATTCACTAAATTTTCATATATATTGTTAAATTCTCTTTTCTACTGTTCGAATTTTTGCTTGTTTATGTCGATTTTGCCCTTGATTTGGTGATTCTCCCCCTCATGTTGACTTGTATTCTCTGAATAGTACTTAATTTTGACAAATTGGTTCAAAACACAAACAAATTGGAAATTTAGGGTTACTTAACTGTTACCATAAAATTATCAAGACAGATTGACAAATCTGTAGTTCAAAAGATTCTTTTTCCTATAGAAAAATTGTAATTCTGTTTGGAACGAAGGAGCAACATAATAGAAAACTAGAATGTGCATGAATTCTAAAGGGAAAGAAACATTATCCATGTGGCTTCTGAATTTCTATGTGTCTGATACATGCAAAAAACATTATCCATGTGGCTGCATGGGGCAACATAATAGAAAACTAGTATGTGATACGATTACCTTTTCTGTTAAAACCTTTCTCCCTAAATCATCTCTTTAATTCTATCTAGGTTTATATTCTACTTCCAATTTGGGGGTTTGATGCATTCGGTAGTTGAATTCTGGGACAAAAAGTTGTATGATTAGGGATAGAAAAGATTTTTATAAATTGCAAATTAGATATGGATCCGTTATACATTCAACCTCATTTTCCTTTTCTACAAGTCTCAATACTAGGGTATGGCTGCATGGGGCTTACAGGTATCTATAACAATCCTCTCCCTAAGGAAGAAGGCAGCAAAGTGCTAAAGGAAGCTTTTAATAGAGGAGTTACATTCTTTGATACTGTTGATGTATATGGGGTTCAGCATGCTAATGAGATACTAGTTGGGAAGGTAATTGTATTTCCTTATACAAAACAACAAAGCTATATAAATAATCTTCATGAAATTATTGCAATGTAATCACATTGCTAGACATTTATCCTAGTTGATTAAACTAGAATGCTTCAGGCATTAGATATGGATATGTTCTATAATATGCGTGATTTTTTAACTTCTCTTCATCTATTTCATTATTTTATTCTAATTTTATGCTTTTTTTTAAGAAATGTAGTATAATTGTTTCATTTATTGATAGGTATTGTTGTAAAATGTAAATAGGGAAAGTTTCTAGTTGATTTAGCTTGTCATGGTGATAAGTTGTTCCAAGTAGTGTTCAAGGAAAGGTAAGTAATCTGGGACAACTAATCTTTGTTTCCCCAAATTGCAATCCAGTCAAGGCTTCATGAATTATTAAAATATAATTTTTTTTAATATAGCAACAAGATCCATTGCTGTGATCAGTAAAATCGATTAAGAATAAATTACAAAATGGTCCCTGTGATTTCTGCTATGTATCAGATTAAGAGCCCTCACGTCTCTGTGTTGACGAGGTAAAAAAACTACACATTATTTTGTTTTTTCATTTTTAATTAATTCCCCTTTTCTCTTATTAATATTATTATTCTTTTAATTTCATTTATGTAATCGTTTGTAATGAGTACAGGTTCATCGTGTACTTGCGGACATAGTTTCAGCTTCAGCTAATGCTACACCAGGACTTGGGAGATATCCTCCATTTGAACGAGAGGTACTTTGCCTTTTTCTTTTTCTTTTACTGATATGAGAAATGTACTTGTTTTTACTCATGATAGCAATTTGATAATGCTGATGTGGCACTGTTGTGTGCTATTGTTTTGACTAGGTGGTGACAATTGCTACAACAGCTCTGGAGGGGTATAAGAATGATGCAAAGGCCATGGTGATTGCACTTGTTATCATTTTCTTATGTAATATCGGAACTAATGGTTGATATATCACACACTTAATTTGTCTACTCATAAAGCTGCTTTGGATGGTATAGCCATGAACACGAATTAGTCTCTGTTCGGTCAGTTACTGATGTACGCCCACAAGGTGCTTGACATAATGTCTATGTGCGATGGGCTGAAGGAAAACACAACACTAAACTATGTTTCAATCTATCCAAGAGCCTCAATGAAAAGGATTACTACACATTCTGGATTGCAAAATATGATCATGACTCTTCATATGTGTCACCAGGCTTACCTGATAACAAAGATTGTTCTCTGATAACAAAGATCCAAAAAGTAGATAAGTATCCCACCCTTAATCAGGTAACTAACTAAGTGTATGACTGTAGATATTTTCAATTCCTTTCAAGTGTATACGTAACACTCAGTGTTGTTTTTGCAGCCAACATTGGTGGCTTCGGGAAGAAATCCACCTAAACTTTACTTTTGAACCAAACAAAAACCTTAGAGATTCAATTCTTTAAAGTACATGTTTCAATATAAACGACTTGTAACTGTAAGTTTCCTGTTTTACCCTTTTTTCACTCCCAAAAATCAAAAAATTTGATGTTTCATTTTCTTTCTTCATCTTATAGGTTTGGTCTGCACCAAATTACTGCTATCGGTGTGGCAACATGGCTTCAATTTTGAGCTTTAGTGAAAACATGGTATTCCCATAAGTTAATTTATCTTTTTTTCTTTCTTTTAGGAGTATATTATTTAATAATGAATTAATGATTGTGGTGGGTGTGACAGGAGAGAGAGGTAAAGTTTTTCACAGAAACTGAAAAAAACAATCAGATGATAGGACCAAGGACAGGGGTACCTTACTTTTTGTAAGAAAGGAAAGAAGAAAGAAATATGTTTTCTCAAGATATGATGATGATGATGATTTTTGGGTATTTTATTTACATTGCTTGTTTATGATGATGATTTTTGGGTATTTTATTTACATTGCTTGTTTATGATAGGCCCTGATCAGAGGAACTCAGCAAATATTATATTTTGTTCATGGATGGCGATTGGAAACATCTTAGGGTTTCTATCTGGTTCTAGTGGAAATTGGCACACGTATATTATCTATCGGAAGTCTTCTTATTATATTATATGGTTTTATTTGACTTTTTTTTCATATTTTTTCTAATTAATTTGATCATTCTCCATGGCAGGTGGTTTCTTTTCTTGAAAAGTATAGCTTGGTGTGAGGCATGTGGAAATCTGAAGGCATCTTTTTTAGTTGCAGTGGTGAGTTTTTAATAGCTAAATATAACTATATCTTAAAATTGATAAATTGACAACCAAAAAGCCTTCTGATGTTTCTAACTAACAAAAGGAAAATTGGAATATTAAATAATACAAAACATGTTGGCATGTTTGCAGATTTTTCATACATTTTGCACACTGGTGACACTCTACTTTGCAAAAGAGATCCCTTTAGCACCAAAACAGCATAAAAATTATTAGATTTTGCTCCTCTTCTTAACAATCATCAGTAGACTGGCTCTGAAAATTCAGACTCAAAACCCCTGACAAGGTGGGTTATGCCTTTCAAGATCTATTGGAGATAAAGATGTTGAGGAGTTCATTATTCCAGTTCCTCATGTCAAACAAGTGAAGGTTAGTTTAGTAATTAAACTCAATTTATTCATTTTTTTGTTAACAACTTTTATTTATTCATGATCTTCAGCTATCTTCTTCTTGTGGGTGGCTTGTAATTTCAAGTGATGGAGTCTGGAATGCTCTTTCCACTGAATCAGCTCTGGAATGCAGTCACGGATTGGTTCCGGAATCAGCAGCAGCACAAATTGTCAAAGTACAGAAACAAAAAAATGTTAAATTTGTAATAAAATATTATGCAATGGATTCTATTATTTGTATATGATAATTTATTTGACATTAAATTTTATGAAATGGATTATATTTTATGTATATGATATTTTATTTTATATTATGAGGCATTAAATGCAAATTTAATTTGAAAATTAGTAAATCTATAAAAAATATATTTTTTTAAACATTTAAAATTATGATACGCAAAAATGTGTGTCATCTTCATTTATGACATGGCCTTTCTTGACAGGGGTTTTCTTGATACGCATTGCGTGTCATAAATATGCGCGTCGTAAGGTTACGATACGCGAATGCGTGTCGTCTTCCTTTATGACAGGGCCTTCCTTGATACGCATTGCGTGTCGTAACTGCGCGTCGTCTATAGACGACGCACAAAAGCGCGTCGTCTCTCTTTATGACAGGGACTTCCTTGACGCACATTTGCGCGTCATCTGAGCCTTTTACGATGCGCAATGAGCGTCGTAAAAGGCTGTTTTTCTAGTAGTGTCGGCTGATTTCATGCACCACACCCTTTCTTATCTTAGAAATTTTTTTCCTTGAAAACAGTTTTTCTTTTTTAAAACATTATAGATCCTCAATTTGAGTTCAGACACACCCAAAGGTATGTCCGAATCCCTCAAACCAAGGCTCTGATACCAACTTGTAACGACCCAAAAATCAACGGTAAAAATTTCATTTTTCAGTATAGTCAAAACACATATATCTTTTAAATCCAAGCTTTCCAAACATTGCTAATTATAAACATTTATCAGAGTTCATCCTAACATCAAGTACTGCAGAAAACATGGGTGTGTGTGTTGTGATCAAGCCGACCCCTTCCTTTTCAAACCGATGATACCTGAAACCAAAAACAAAACTGTAAGTATGAAGCTTAGTGAGTTTCCCAGAGCATACCCCATATAATCATATAAACCATATCAATTTCATAAACGATGCATATACACATATAAGGATGCCATGCAAACCATCCAAGACATATACACCAAATCACATTTTATCATATCAATTTCATAAACCATGCATATACATATATAGGGATGTCTTGGAAACCATCCAAGGTCTTATACACATAATCATATACTGTTGGATTTGGTGTCTAAGTCCATAACTATAACTGGGATGTACTTTACCTGATAGTACCATGGTCCTTTTGGGTTGCCTTCACCAATGCAATTTGATAGGATGGACTTTTGAGAATAAGGTTATTTATGATTTATTAATATATTATAAATATCATATGTTAATTATAAATCATATTATTTAATTAGTATTGATCAAGAATTAATTTGGAATTAATTTTGTGATTGAAACAGACTAATTAAATATACGGGGACTGATTAAGTAAATAAATGATTCTTATAGCGTGGGCCCAATGATCCATGGTTAATTAGGATGGGCTAAACTAATATGATAGTCCATGGATAGTCCATGGAGGTTTAACTCATGGAGCCTAAGTAATGTGAAAGGTCATTGTGCATTAGGGGTTGCATGGATGTAACCTAGCCTTTGCAACACTATAAAAACACACCCCTAGAGACAAAATCGGTTGCCCATTCATTCTAAGAGAGTGACAATTGATTTTTTGCTAACTAGACTATTCTCTCAAGCCTCCTATTGCATTCGGGTGTTTGTGACACGTTAGAGGCATCACACTTGAGGTGCTAAAGCTTTCAAGGCCAAGAACTTCAAACTACATAAGAGGTATTCATTAAACTATGAGTTTTATAGTGTATATCCTCTATCGTATGCTAGTTAGGATGTATGCTTTGGAAAAATGAAAATACATGTATAATTAGATAAAACATAGATCCAAAGCATCTAAGCTTGCATGTGCACCATAGGAGTATTATACTGCTTAAAACCCAACATATATATCATATCAACTACACAAGTCATGCATTACACATATAGGGATGCCATGGAAACCAACCAAGGTCTTGTATGCATAATCACATATATCATATCAACTACACAAGTCATGCATATAAACATATAGGGATGACATGAAAACCATCCATGGTCTTACATTAAGTGCCATTGGAAACCCCCACATGGTCTTAACTACATATCATGGGAACCCTAATATGGTTTTCACCAACTGCCATGGGAACCCCCCACATGATCTTTACTGACTGCCATGGAAACCCCCACATGGTCTTAGCTAGCTAAGGAAATATCATGCAAACTAAACATAAAAGCATACTAGGATGTCATGGAAACCATCTAAGGTCTTACAACAAGTGCCACTGTAACTCCCACGTGTCTCAACCATGGGAACCCCCTATATGGTCTTACACTGGAATGTCGTGGGAAGCCCTAATGGTCTGACATCCAACTGCCTCAGGAAACTCCACGGGTCTTCCACGGAAGTATCAAAGAGACTGCTACCATATCATATATCACATAATCAACAACAATCCACATATCATAAAATATGCCATAAGAACCCCCCACGGACAGAGTGAAACCCTAAGTTCGGGGTTTTGCACCCTATTTAAGCTCCTTAATCCGCACCCCTTGGCCTCATTTCCAGCCTCCTTGTCCTAAACCCTAATCCACGAAACCATAGAGATTTTTTTGAGAGTGCAAGCCATTTGAGTGACCTTTGTGTGATTTTGAAGCTTATGGAAGAAGAATAAGATAGAGGGCTAAAGAAAGAAAGAGTAGATCCAGAAACTACACTCCATTGGCTACATTTTCTGATAATCAAGCTTCTACCTTGACTTGTAATTCATTAGATCACTTTATGCCCCCTTTATGTGGGTTTTTTGTCCAATATTCATAGCTTTTGGGAAGTGATCGACCAAAGTGGGTATTCTTCTAGATCTAGTACCTAGAGGGGCTGAAATGACATAAAGTTGCAAACTTTATGCCATTAGAGCCCCCATGCAAGCTCTAAGAACGTCCTTATGGCCTTTTGAGCTCAAAATGTCCATGCACGGAAGCAAGCTCAAGACTTTACATTTTCAGGTGGTATTTAGGCCCTAGATCTAAGTTTTCATGCTTTGGTTTGGGATATTAAGGCCTTTTGAACGAGTCCCTCTGTCTGTTTGGCCATCTTAACAGATTAAGCACCTATTCTCAAGATCCAAAGTCCATACTTTGCTTGTTCAGTGGAAATGATCTATCAATGGGTGAAGTTGGAAACTTTACCCTTAGAAAGATCATTTCCAATGAACAAGCAAAGTATGGACTTTGGATCTTGAGAATCGGGGCTTAATCTGTTAAGATGGCCAAACAGACAGAGGGACTCATCGAGTCCATAAGGGAACTCAGCGAGTCAGGTCATTTTGTCATATTTCAACTTAAGGTAGAACTCAACGAGTCTGTAGAGGTACTCGACGAGTTGATTCGCCAAGTCACGACTATGAGCAGCTCGAAAGGACTCGACGAATGGGAGGAACGACTCGATGAGTTGAGTCGTGATTCTAGGATTTCTGAGTTAAATAGCTCGGCGAGTTGAAAGGTTGACTTGGAGAGTTGGTCAACCCAGAGTGTTGACTTGGACCAGAGCGTTGACTTTAACCAGGGGTAAAATGGTTATTTTATAGATAGAAGGATTTTCATTTTTTAACTAAATGTCTTTGTGAATGTATAGCCAGGGAGTCGTTGGAGCAACCATTTGAGATTCCTCACTCAAGTTATCAGCAACCAGTTTGAGAGGTGAGTTTTCCTCCAGTAGGAACGGGTCGAATGCACCACTGCTGACCCGTTTATATATGTTAGCGTATATTAGACTTCGGTCAGATGTTGGGGTTAGTCGATGTAGATTATGTGTTCCGGACTTCGGTCTGATGCCGGGGCGGTCCCGAGAAGTGTATATGTATGCTTGATGTCTTTCTGATTCATGCATGTTATGTGTTTCAGGCCTAGGTCCGATGTCGGGGGCAAGCCTGATGTATGTTACCTTATTTGTTAGGTGTTATGTGTTCTGGGTTTCGGCCTGATATTAGGGAATGACCAATAAATTTTATATGCTTATGTTATATGCTTATGTTATGTGCTTATGATATATGATATGTTTTTTGTATGCCAGGGAAAGCTCGATGTCGGGCGAGGCTCGATGTCAGACGTGGTGTGATGCTGGGGTAAGCCCGATGCCAGGCAGGAGACCGATGTCGTGTAAGCCGATGTTGTGTTCGTCCCGATGTAGTTGGATGGAGTCCTAAAGTTTATGTTATATGTTATGTGTATGGTATGTGGTATTTTGGGAGAGCTTACTAAGCTTTGTGCTTATAGTTGTCAGTTTTTGTTTCAGGTACTTCTGTTAGCAATGGGAAGGGCTTAGGATGATCGCATGGTACACACCATCATTTCTAGCTTGGGATATTTACTCTAATATTTGATATGAGATTTTGATATATTGATAGTTGTTATGACATTTTTGAGACATGAGGTTTGTGACTTTTATATGATGATGATATTTATGGTTTTATTAATGATTTAAAAACAAAATTTTTGGACCGTATTTTTAGGATGTTTCAAGTTGGTATCAAAGCCATGGTTTGAGGGATTTGGTCACACTTTCGGTTGTGTCTGAACTCAAACTAAGGAATTGGTATAGAAATTTTCAAAAGAATAACCATTTTAATAAAAGGACTTTGAGAAAAAGAAAAGAATTTTAGAAAAAGCGAAATGAACTTTATAAAGGAGAAAAGGGTGTGGTCCATGCACTCAGCCGAGCTTAAGTAAGTACTCCTAAATTAGCCATACAAGTTTATATTATGATATATGTATCACCTTTATGATAACAACATACTAGATTTGGACTAAGGATCAGGAATGATGCCTTATGTGCCTATTATATGTGTATTAGCTTTATGAACTGCATGCTAGTACAGATTAGTCAGTATGATGGCTTGATTAGTATATGCTTGATTATGTTTACCTAATGCTCAAATGATGATTGCTTTGTGCTTTTAGGAGTTCTAGTTTTCTTTCACTAATTAGTAAACGAATATGTTAAGTTATATATTGTGAGGACTAAATAATTTCAGAAGGTTAGGTCTAGCTCTATTTCGCAGCTCTTGTTTGAATCTGACCTTTGTAGGGTAAGGTCTCTCAATCGAAGAATTATCTATTCTAAGTGATATGTAATAGTACTCACAAACTAGTTACAGGAAGATAACAGGGACTTCTTACGTTGCTGGTGGTGGAGAGTGGGTTTGGTGATTACCCTAGGGAAAGCCTAGGATTTGAGTAGCACGTGAAGCATTAGTAATAAAAAGGACTTGGTGAAGTCAAGGCAGTTCTTAAGGAAAGTATGTATAGATGTGGAAGGTAGTATGGGTCCGTACTATTGAAAGTAGAGGATCCATACTTAAGTCAAGGAAGGCTGAGATGAATCCAAAGAACTTGTAGTATATGTGATCTCCACTGAGATCACGCGTAGTATCCTCGATCAGACTCCTTTGATATTTGGCACAATCAAGGAGGGTATTTTAGACCATTTGGATGAGAGGTTGATTGCTTTCCGCACTGAGGTTGCGGCCATGATGGGGTCGTGCACACTGACTTTTAGGGAGTTCAGAGCTTGTGGAGCTCCCGATTACCATGGGGCTCGGGACCCCATTGCTAGTACCAGATGGTTGGCAGATGTTGCCAATGTATTCCGCACCAACAGATGTCCCAAGGGAGACACGATTCGACTTGCGTCCTGTCTTCTGAAGGAACGGGCACGTGACTGGTGGGAGGAGGTCAGGCATGTCGTAGGTGATGATGCAACTCTTGATGCCATGCCTTGGAATGACTTTACAGCCAGGTTCAGGGCCGAGTTTGCACTCGTGATAGAGGTTCAACAGCTAGCTAGGGAGTTTTAGGATCTTGAGCAAACGATAGAGACAGTGGAGGACATCACCGCCAAGTTTAAGGAGAGGGCCCTTCTCATTTTGTAGTATGTGGAAGACAAGGAGATGAAAAAAACCCGATATCATGAGATATTGTAGAGTGATATCCGCCAGTTTGTGAGCCGCTCCAGCTGCAATACGTTAGAGGACATGATTGCTAGGGCTCGAGAGAAAGAGTTGGATTTAGAGATGGAGAGGAAGAGGAAACCCGAGGGGGTTCAATCAGGGAGTACGGGTAAGAAGCCCATGGTATCAGATCAAAGATCTCGGAGCCAGCAGAGCCACGTTCGTTGTAACAAATGCGGCACGATGCACGATGGAACATGCAAGGCAGGGAGTTGGGTTGCCACAAGTGTGGCCGAATTGGTCATGTGAGCCGAGATTGCACAGCCACCACTACCACGACAGCATCAGATCTAATTTGCTTTCAATGCAATTAGAAGGGACACAGCGGTCCTTGTGTTTGAGTTTAGTAGCAGCAGTGACAGTGGCATCACCTTCTCCTTCCACATTGAGGATCATATATGGACGACATGGACGGGCTGAGGCGCCTATGGTGCAGAGAAGGGATTTTCAGCTTACTGCAGAGGAGGAACAAATAGCTCCTGATGTGGTGATGGGTATGTATCTTTCCCTTATCTCTTTATTGATATTGATTGTTGATTATGTTTATATGTTTTGTTATAGGATTGTTCTTAGTGAATGGTATATCAACTTTGGTACTATTTGATTCGGGTGCCACCCGATCTATTGTGTCGCTCGTGCTCAATAAGCGATTAGTAGGAGCTCCAGGAGAGTTGGATTTCCCACTTGATGTGGAGATAGTAGATGATAGGACCGTCATGATTGTGAGGGTTCACAGAGGGTGTACACTATAGGTATTCGATGAGCAGTTTTTAGTAGATCAGATTCCTATTCCCCTGCGAAGGAATAAGGTTATAGTAGGTATGGATTGGTTGAGCCTCAATGGGGCAGTGATTGACTATGAATAGCAGTTAGTGAGGTTTCACACTTGTAGTGGGGGAGGGCTAGTGATCCAGGCCGATAGGCCACAACACGGACCTGTTTTCTATTCAGCAGTGAGGACGATGGGCCACCTTCAGCAGGGTTGTGTGGGTCACATCGCCTATGTCATGGATACCCGGGAGAAGGTTAAGGCGACAGTTGATGATGTACCGGTAGTTCGAGAGTACCCAGATGTATTCCCAGAGGATTTACCTGGGGTACCTCCGAAGAGATAGGTTGAGTTTAGGATTGACCTAGTCCATGGTGTGGCTCCGATAGCCAATGCACCATATCGGTTTGCTCTTCCCAAGATGTAGGAGTTGACTACGCAGATGCAAGAGCTGCTAGACAAGGGATTTATCAGGCCAAGCAGTTCGCCATGGGCAGCCCGGATCCTATTTTTGAAGAAGAAGGATGGGTCACATCACATGTGTATAGACTATTTGGAGCAGAACAAGGTAACGGTGAAGAACCGTTACCCACTTCTGAGGATAGATGATTTGTTTGATCATCTTCAGGGAGCATATTGCTTCTCCAAGATTGATCTACGGTCTAGGTATCATCAGATGTGAGTCAGGGACGATGATGTGCAGAAGACGTCTTTTAGGACTCGCTATGGTCATTATGAGTTTGTGGTGATGCCGCTTGGGATCACTAATGCTCCAGCTGCATTCATGGACCTCATGAACCGCGTGTGCAGACAGATGTTGGATCGGTGTATAATAGTATTCATTTATGACATCTTCGTTTACTCCAAGACTTAGGAGTAGCATGAGTAGCACCTGAGGGAGGTAATCACTACTAGAAAAACAGCCTTTTACGATGCTCATTGCGTGTCGTAAAAGGCTCAGACGACACGCAAATACGTGTCAAGGAAGGCCCTGTCATAAACAGAGATGACGCTCATTTACGACGTGCAATTATGACGCGCGTTTACGACACACAATGCGTATTAAGGAAGGCCCTGTCATAAAGGAAGACGACATGCATTCGTGTGTCGTAACCTTACGACGCGCGTGTTAATGACACGCAATGCGTATCATTAAAACCCCTGTCAAGAATGGCCATGTCATAAATTAAGATGACACACATTTCTGCGTATCGTAAATTTAAATGTTTAAAAAAATATTTATATATTTATTAATTTTTAAATTAAATTTGCATTTAATGTCTCATAATAGAAATAAAATACCATATACAAAAAAATACAATCCATTGCATAAAATTTAATGTCATACAATTCTATTTCTTACAATATATAAAATTGCATTCATCTAATCTACTCTTTGTTTCATACTAACAATTGAAATGAAGAATGCAACACTTGGATTTGGAACTTCTTATCTCTTTCAGCTTGAGCTTTCTTTTCCTCTTCTAACTCCATAGTTATTCGCTTTCATCAACCCTGTAAACACAACACAAAATCACTTGTCATTTTCATTCTACTTTTAAAATTAATTCTTATGAGGACATTCTACTTTTAAACCTACCAATCTAGGAAAATTTTCAAAGAATATAATTTATAATTTTTTTTATGGAAAGTACATTGCTATTTCTTGAATACGAGATGTTACAAACAGTGAAAGAGAAACCCTCTGTCCACTTCCACCGTGAAAAGTGGAAAACCAATCATTATATAGCATAGACACTTGGTTTTACAAGAATGAAGTTAATAATGATTAGATTGATAAATTAAGGAGTTAAAACTGAAGAAATATGATGTAATAAGATGAGAAAAATTATTAGTTAACAGGTTAAGAAGATATAAATGCATCATCATCATCCTTGTTGTGTTAGACATAGAACAGGATGCATACCAACCAGCTTGATGAACAACAAATCAAAATAAATAAATTAACTCATTTCTCATTTTATAATATATCTTAATGTTAAATATAGCATTTACCTAGCACAACTTCGTGACGATCATAAACATCCTTTCTAAAGTAATATATGAGTAACTATATATTTGTTCTAAGAAATGAACACAATACTTTCGAACTTCAATTTAACATTGATATGGCATAGAAACTTAGATTCTCTTGAACCAAATACTTTCTTATTTACTCGTAGTAGCAGTAACTATATCTTTGTTCTAAGAAATGAACACAATACTTTCTAATTTCAATTTAACATTGATATGGCATAGGAACTTAGAGATGATAAAAGATGAATACCTAATCCATATGTGAACAATCTGAACTGGCCAAGAGCTTGTATAATGAACATCTCAACACCACTCACTACTGTAACTCCCACCTCTACAACCTCTTGCAATAGCCGTGTGTTTCTAGGTGTATAAACCGCATCAAATACAAGATCATATGATCTCAAGTTCTCCTGATCATGTCAAAAACATTTTAATTGATAATCCTATTTTCATAAATATTAATAAGAAAAGAGAACCTTGGAAACTGGTGTCAGGTGTACATCTGGTTCCATGCCAATAGCAGAGCAATTTGCAAGAATCATTCCATTTTAAGGGCAATATGCATCCAACTGTTCGATAGGCAAAGCCTCCCCTGAAACTGCTCGTGCAAAAGACTCTACTCTCTCTATTTTAGGAATTTTATAAATTCAACAGAAGAGATTCACAACATTAACATTAAAAAAACACATCTTTTATGTAAGATAAATTGTGTGATTTTGGTTGTTTGTTATAAATTCAATAGAAGAGATTTGCAGTTACTTTGAATTAATTCATTGGGGCTTAGTTTCAAAAAGACAAAAGATGTAATGAAGTTACTTTTTGTTGTATGTAAGATAAATTGTGTGATTTTGGTTGTTTGTTATGATTGGTCTGCAAGTATGGATGCTTGAAGGAGGCTCTGAGCAGATCGGGTTTCATTGGGAGTACCCGAAATAAGCACAATGTGATCACTTGTTCCTGAACGTGGCTCATGCTCTACCACGTTTGCACCTGAAATATGCTTTTACACAAAACCAAAATGCTTATTTATTTATAGAAATCAACAAACCAATTTTCAATGCTATAACAAAAAAGTATATGGAAGTAGAATTCCAATTCCAATTACCTGTCTTAAATGAGTGAGGTTGCTTCCATTCTCCCCATAAACCAAAGCAATGATAGTTTGGGGTACTAGAATTTCCACACTCATGTTACTCACTATAGCAGCAGATCTACCTACAGAAGTTGACCCTGTGCTAATATCCCGTCCCATCTGCAATAAATAAAGAAACAATTCAATTCTCAAACATCAAAAATAGGAAGAAGAAAAAAGAAAAAATAATAATAATACAAGAAGGTGCCATTTTCCAAGTGTCAGAGGACGATCTATGCTACTACTTGAGAGTTTGAGATTATCCATAGCTTGAGTTAAATTAGTATTATGCTGACTAGGATAATGTGACGTGGCAACAGAAGACTGATGATGTGTATATGTACCCTTTGTTGTTCCAGTTCCAGTTCCATGGCTATTTCACAATCTATTTGAGAATAAGTCGTTTAATAGTCTTCCAGTAACACTGTATAAAGCATCTCTTACATTTATCATCTCTACTGTTACCCATCCATGTGGTTAAGTAGATCATGGTGTTGGTTGGTGGTTTGCGATGTTCTCAAACTTCAATGTTGGCTGGGATGAAGCTAATGACCGAAGAGGATTGTGATGCAGATGTTTGGGTTAGAGTGATGGCGGTGGCTCAAGGTATTAAGGTTGAGATAGTGTGCTATACAGCTGTCAAATGATTTATTTAATTATAGGGTTTTAAATTAATAATATTTAATTGATTTAAGTTGCTTGAATTAACATAATAATCATTTAGTTATCTTTAAAACTTTCTAATTCAAGCGACTTAAATTAATTAAATATTATTAATTTAAAATCCTATAACTAGATAAATCCTTTCATAGTCGTATAACACACCATATCAACCTTAATACCTTGAGCCATCGACATCACTCTAACCCAAACATCTGTATCATAATCCTCTTCGGGCATTAGCTTCATCGCAACCAACATCGAAGTTTGAGAACATAGCAAAACCACCAACCAATACCACGATCTGCTTAACCACATGGATGGGTAATGTTTGTGAGCAGTAACGTAGTGATTGGTAGTTGGAGATGGCGTTTGGTGGTTTTTAAGGCGTAGTTTTTCAGCGATGTTGGTAGAGTAGGTGAAGATAATTAGATGGATGGGTAATGTTGGTTGCTAGATATTACATAGGAAAGAAAAAAAAAATAGTGAAAGATGATGGTGAAAGGGAAGATGAGTGTTTGAACTTGGTGTTTTGTGATGGTTGTGGGTCGTTATGGGGAAGGAAAGCTATAGTGTTTGTATCCATTTCTTTTATAAAAACGTGTTTGAATAATTTTTTTATCTAATACGTGTTTTTGTACATTTTATATATAAACATGTTTGAACACAAATGCATTTATTATAAAATAGGTGTTTATAAAACAATATATATATATATATATATATATATATATATATATATATTGAAAAAAGAAATGCATACAAACACTTATTTGGATGCATATAAATATGTTTTTACAAAAGAAATGTATATGTTTACTACGAAAGAGGTGTTTGTATATATATATATATATATATATATATATATATATATATATATATATATATATATATATATATATATATATATATGGGTAAATTACACCAATGGTCCCTCGTGGGCATGTCAGAAGGCGTGTTTGGTCCCTATTTAAAAAAATTCACTCGGACCGTCCCTGAATTTCTTTTTTCTTGCACGCTTAGTCCCTATTGACATGAAATGACTATTTTACCCTTAATAATTTCTTTTTTCATTTTCTTTTATTCATTTATCAGTTTTAGATTATAAAATAAATTTTAAAAAAAATCATATATATCCACCCCTCCCCTCCCTTTCTCTTTCCCTTCTCCTTCTAACTTTCTTGGACCAGAACCACCGTCTACCACCACCGACTACCACCGGAAACCACTCGTCCTCCTCCTTTTTCGACAAGATTAACTAGCCAAAATTCGTTTGTTTTCCCCTCCTTCATATCACCATCATCCAACTCAAACAACCATTGATGAACATACCTGATTTTCAAACATCAAATATTCAACCCAAAACTTGCATTCTAATCTGAAAATCAAACCCCTCATGAATCTCAAACCCATTTAGATCTACATTTATATTTGAAACTCAAACCCATATCAGAAACTCGAACATCAGAAACTCGAACATCAGAAACCACATCATCTCATCATCACAACCCACCCCCATCGCATCACCCTTCTTCGCCTTGTCTGCCGTCGGATGCCTCACCGGAGATATTATCGCCATTTGATTGCTCCATCGAAGCAGCATGCCTCGCATCCCACTCCATCGCTGCACCCACCGAGACCGACGAAACCCTTCTTGCCTCTTCCCCTCGCACCTTTCCCTTCTTCTTGTCGAGCTCCCTTGCCAAACCCTCTCGCCTGCATTGCTGATTGCTGCTCGCGACCACCCCTCCCCTTCCCCCTTGGCACCTCACTGCCAGAGGAGAAAGAGCGCGGCCCCGCTGATTCTTCCCATCTTCTTTCTTCGGTCTCGTCGACCCCAGGAGACGCTCCCTTCTTGCGATTGATCGACAAAACCTCAGATTAACTGCCTGCGAGCCTCCGTGATTTCTTGCCGGCTGTCGTTCGTTGGTGTTCTACTTTCGATCATCCTGTCTATTTTCCCGATCAGACAAAAGACGGAGCACAAAGAGATTTGCACCTGCACACTAAACCCTAGGTGCCTCTCGTTGTTCCAACGAGACGATAACGGATCTTCACCCTGGTTCAAGGGTACCAGATATGCACTTCTCCTTAACCTTCTCCTTACTGTTCAGATCTACACTCCTGGTTGGATCCTTCGTATGAAGAAACGCAGGATGAAAAACAAGTGCTTGAAAAGATTTAGAAGATTAAATTGGAGCTTGGTCAGATTATTGGTAGTGGTGGTGTGGATTACCGATGGTGGTGGTGGTCAAGTATTTTTCAACAACATATAAAAATAATTATAATACTTTTTAATAATTAAATTGATAAAAATAAATGAAAATGAAATTGAAAAGGGCATTATAGTCCTTTCATGTCCCACAAGGGATAAGACGTGCAAAGTTCAACTAACGAGGGATGAAGTGTGATACTTTTAACGACATAAGGGACGGTCCGAGTTAATTTTTGAAAATAGGGACTAAGTACGCTTTCTGGCATATACACGAGGGACGATTGGTGTAATTTACCCTATATATATATATATATATATATATATATATATATATCTGTTAAATACAAATGTATTTATAACAAAATAGGTGTTTGTATACAGTTTGTTTTATAAAATACATGTTTGTATAATTTTTTTTTATAAAAATGGATTTGTATATATTTATATACATAATAAATACCTATTTTTATAAATAGGTACTTCATATACAAAAATGTTTATGTTGTAACATCCCATAAATCATGACCAAAAATTTCATTTTTAAATCATTAATTAAACCATAGTTACTAAAATCAATTTATGAAACCAGAAACAATAGTATATCAAAACATCATAATCAGTGTATCCATATCAAATCACATGTCAAATATATCAGAGTAACATCCCACGCTAAACATCATGGTGTGAGCAATGTAGTCATCCCGAGCCCTTCCCCTTGCTACCGGAAGTACCTAAAACCAAAACAGAAAACTGTAAGAATGAAGCTTAGTGAGTCTCCCCAAACTACCACATACCATAAACATAATCAAATATAAACATATCGTGGGCCCCGCCCCTTCATCGGGCACCACCCAACAGTTTCTGGCATCGGGCCCCGCCCGACATCGGACAATGTCTGGCATCGGGCCCCACCCGGCATCGAGTAAATCTCGGTATACATATAAACATATTGACAAATAAACATAAATAATCACATATCATAAACATATAAACATTCCTCGGGCCCCGCCCGACATTAGACCGAAATCTGGAAGCATACAAACATTCCTCGGGCATTGCCCGACATCGGACCGTAATGCGGAAACATACAATACTGACATACGCAAGAATCATGAAGACATTAAGCATACAAATATTCCTCGGGCACCGCCCGACATCGGATCGAAATCCAGAAAACATATGAACCTATATTGGGCATTGTCCGAAATCGAACCTTAGTCTGGAACATACTAGCATACATATACGGGCTGGCATTTGTGCCTTCGTCCCGTTCATACAGGGGGAAAACTCACCTCAAATGTTGGATGATAATTGAAACATCTCTGCCCGGAATCAGTTCTACTCACTCCTTGAACCAACACAACCCCTTAGATACCATTTCATGCATATAACCCCTTTAGGGTCAACCATGGTCAAAGTCAAGGTCAAGTCAAAGTCAACGGTCCAAGTTGACTCAACTCGTTGAGTTTGCCCTTCGATTTGTTGAGTTCCCATGAATCACAGAATCGTGACACAACGATCCAACTCATCAAGTTTTCCTCCAAGTCGTCGATTTTTTTTGTTTAACAGAATCAGGACTGTTCGACCCAACTCTCGAGTTCCTTTATGAACTCGTTGAGTTCTTCATAATTCTTAATCTATTAAGCTCTTCCACAGATCTAAGGTTCCAAAATATAGATCAACGTTGTTTTCATGGTATACATCTGTAAAGTTGACAACTTAATGGCTTTGCATGCCTCAAATGGACCTAATCTCGAGATATAGCAACCTACTTCCATGGACATGATCTTTTCTTGAGCGTGAAGATGATTTATAATGATTAATCTTAACTAAGTTATAGTATATGTTACAAGGATTCCGTACATATAAAGAATGCCAAAATATGAGTTATAACGAAGAAGTTATGACCTGTCGAAGTATTGCGACAGAACTGGTACGACACAGCGTGACGTAAATAGTGAATTTGCGTTAGAGCACTATTTGGCCTTAGCGATCTAAACGAAAGTCGTAGAATACATTAAAGCGAGAGTGTGCATAAAAAGAACGTCTAAATTTGACTTCGTATGAGGAAGTTATGATTTTTCGAAGTTTCAGCATTAGCAGTATGCAGCCCGAAGTTCGAATATGAGATCGAGTGATTTCTAGCCAAAACAATCTAAACGAGAATCAAAGATCTGATCAATAGTAGTCCAACAGTAAAAAGACAGATGAAAACCGACGTCAGACGAAGAAGTTATGGATTTCTAACGGAGTTTTCCTGTCCCGACCTACTAAAAATAATATAATAAAAATATAGTAAAAATAAGTCAAAATTAGCCGACGAAGTCTAAACGAGAGATGCAGATCATAATCTCACCTTCGCGTGGATATAAAGAACGTTGAAAACGGAGTTCGTATGCGAAAGTTATGAATTTCTGAAGTCCCAAAAACTATCAGAGTTCACGACGTGAATACAATGTTCATCTCATAAAGTTGCCAAAAACGGGTGAGATCACATATCTAGTGCCTCTCATCAAGCTCAATGATCTTCAAGCTCTTCCAAGTCATTTATCAAGCACAAGAACACACAAAAATCCACTCAAAACCTCTAGTTTCCCAACAAGGAGCTCACAGTACGATTTAGGGTTTAGGGGGGATGATGAGGCGTTGGTTAGGGGACTTTATGTCCTTTAAATATGGTGCAAAACCCTGAAAATTAGGGTTTCATCCCTGCAAGTCTACTCGTCGAGTTGGAAGCCCCCACTTCAAGAAACTCATATACTTATCAAACTCTTAAGGAATTTGGTAGCTTGGTATTTTGGAACTATGTTATATTGTTAAGGACTTGATGCATTTTATAGTGAATTTTGGTAGTTTTGTACTTTTTTATTTGCTAAATGCTTAAAGCATTTGTTATGAATTTGTTAGTTTGGTAATTTGTTAAATACTTTATTGATTTGGTCGTTTGATACTTTGTTAAATTGTTAATGACTTAAATTGTTAAGGACTTAATTGATTTGGTAGTTTGATAGTATGTTCAATTTATAGAACTTCAATTATCAATGACTTAATTAATCTTATAGTTTGATAATTCGTTAAATTGTTAATGACTTAATTGATTTGA